TGTCTGTCTGTCTGTCTGTCTGTTCCACTAGAAGCCCGTATAAAAATATTCTGTACCGAAATCAGTCCGATTTTCGGACAGTCCGAGACGACATCCCGGACCTTGCCGAGAATACTACCGAAAATGTGTCAAATCAGCAAGTTTTCGGACTGTCCGAAGGCCGCGACCGGGCGTCTATCGGACTGTCCGATGCCCGTGCCCGGACGTCTTTCGGACTAGTCCGAATGGTCCAACCGGTTTAAAAAAAAATCTGGACGAGCGGGATTCGTTCCCTCACCTGTCGGTCATCGGGTCCCTTGACCGACGCTCTTACCAACTGAGCTACGCTGACGGCTGAGAGGAGACGAAACAGGAGAGCCTCGTTAGCTGGGCTCAGAATCTCTTCCGAGACGAGTGCTGTACACAACGAACAAATCAGCGAATAGTCATGCGGTTTTCGGCAAATGCTTTTGAATCGCACGAAATGTTCTGTTCGGGTCATGATGAACGACCTTCTTGAAAAATAAAATATGCCTGTTTAGTTTACTCAAATTTAAAGAGGCAAATTGCCCGCACAAAATAAAATAAAATGTTGTCTGATAATTTTCCTGGCGCTTTCAGTGCTCAGCAGAAAGTTGAATATGCGTAATAGGTGGATTAAACAAATTTTCATATTTTATTGAAAACATTGTATGAATATATAGTTTGCCAATTTTCAAAAAAAATGTAGAAGTCTTTTGTGTTTAAACAGCTCGAGACCGTCCTGTGACGACCCGCGTTGATAGTCGGACTGTCTTTGGACGGTCCGGACCGGACTACCGGACTTATTAGGGTAGCATCACACTTTTTACGGACAGTCCTGGGTGCTGAGGGCTACTTTCGGACAGTCCGGTATCGGACTCGGATTGCTGACGGACTGTCCTGGAACATATTTGGAAGTGTCCGAGACGATCGGACTGCTTTTGGAACAGTCCAGGACGAGTTTCGGAATGATTTCGTTTTATAAGGGAGGAGATGTGCTAGGGACTTGAAATTTTCAGGGTATGGTAAGGTTCACTCCTAGAGAACGAAACGCCTACGGCAAATCCTGGCAACTACCCCTCAGGGTGTGAATGGGGGTATCCAAAGTTTAAATATTCCCCCTTCTTTTCAGCCCGCCCTTCTGCTTTGAAAAAGCTATCCAGCGGGCTTATGCAAACGACCTCGTGTTTGTCTGTCTGTCTGTCTGTCTGTCTGTCTGTTCCACTAGAAGGAGATGTGCTAGAGACTTCAAATTTTCAGGGTATCTTAAGGTTCACTCCTAGAAAACGAAACGCCTACGGCAAATCCTGGCAACCAACCCTAAGGGGCTTAAAAGGGGTATCAAAGAAAAGAGGGTAGGTCAAAAAAGTCAGAAAAAAATATTTTTTTTATGATCTCCGAAGGGGTAACTCGTAAAAGTGAAATCCTGTGGACTAAAATTTTGTCCGTTTGGCTCTATCTCTCACCGTTTGGGCGCTGGAGGGTCTTTTTTGACGAAAATAAGCTAAAAATTGCTGTAGTGAACATTTAGTTGTACAGGAAGAGCCCCCTCCCCTTAAAAAAGAAGTTTTTCTAAGCAGGAGGGTGGGTTGTAGTCACGGTGCGTCACCGTTACATTCCTTTCCCATGCGTCTAAGGGGCAAATTTTAATGACGACGGGTTTTAGCGGACCGAAGGCCCGCTATATTATTTGATTATGTTTTTCAGCAAATTTAGCAAAAACGGTCGGGCCGCAGGCCCTAGCGTCGCCGCTGGCAGGCCAAGCAGGCCCGGCCCCTGCCGAACGGAGTTGCCGGCGCAGCGAAGCGGAGCTGGCAACTACGTTTGGCGGAAGGGCGGGCCTGCTTGTTATGTTCTTCTAATGGGTAACTCGTCAAAGTAGAGATCTAAGGGAGAAATTTTCGTCTGTTTGGCTCTATCTCTAACCGTTGGAGGGTCTTTTTTTGACGAAAATAAGCTAAAAATTGCTGTAGTGAACTATAAGTTGTAGAAGAATGCCTAAACACCGCAAAATAGGAAACAAGCCCCCCCCCCCCCCCTAAAAAAAGGCCAAGCAGTCCCGGCTCCTGCCGAACTGAGTTGCCGGCGGAGCGAAGCGGAGCTGGCAATTCCGTTTTGCGGAAGGGCGGGCCTGCTTGTTAACTTATTCATTCGGCGAAGTTGGACAACACGCACGTCATATAACCCCGTTTCTGAATCACATCACATCCAAGGCTTTAATGGTAGTTGCGTCACCGTAATCGTGTCCTAATGGCAAAGGGGGGTGTCTGACACAGACTCAATGCCAAATTGGTAAAAAAAAAAATACTTTAGTGTTGATCAAAATTCCCGTCTGAAAGTACTTATGTGCTCTAAAACTCACGCACTTACAAATTTTAACTAAGTGGAATTTTAATTTTGAAGTTTAAAGATGTCTAAAATGGTGCGCACAGCAGAAATTGATGTGAAATTGCTAAAAAAAAAAATAGTTTTATGCCGTGTGGGTTGCTTACCTAAACGCACTTTAAACCTAAGCAATGTCACCTCATGGCATAAATTACCTTGAAACACACAAAACCTTAATCATGTGCGAGAAAACTGCAGCCTTGAAGCCTTAACAACGGCCAAAAATCGCAGAGGGGTCAAAATGAACCCTCCGGTCCTTCTAGGTATACTAAAGTCCCAGACCTTCTAGTGCTAGGGGGTGCACAGCCTGCTTTCACACTTCTCGATCCCCGAGATCAATGATCGGGACGCCTGCATGCCAAATCTTAGCTCCCTAGCTCAACAAACATAGAAACTACGTCCGTTGGAAAATTCCGCCCGCTTATTTTGATGAGCAGTGCAGTTGAGGAAACGTCCAGGAGGCCTTCTCAAAATGTGGGATTTTCCTTACACTTATTGCTTAAAGTTTTATATTTTCATTTCTCAAGCACTCAAGCACTGTTTTCACCGTTTAGTGAGCTGAAGCATTTTTCGTTTTGTTACAGGCATCATGTTTGAGACTTGTGCTGCAATGCTCGGCGTTGTTATGGCGATGACGTTGGCTTACGCAGCAAGTGGTGAGATGATGTTTCAAAATGTTTTCTTTAGTCTTAACACAATCTGTTTGGGCTCCAGAACATGCTTAGCTGTTCCTTCTGCTCAGAAAAAGCATTGATCACACCAAATCTGAGAGGACTTTTATACTGCATAGAAAGACGCGTTTTTGAGCACATCTCAACCGGATGCAGATTTGAATCCAGCAAGTGACGAACTAAAATTTTCTTTGGACGACTATTTCTTTGTCTATCATGAAGGTGCAAATTCCTCTCTGGCAAGATTCGAATCTGCATCCTGTTAAAATGTACACAAAAACGCGTCTTTCAATGGACAGATTTAGTGTGATAGCACTTTATCAAAGTTCAGACACAACCAATAAACCTTTCAGGCGGGCCTTGCCCGAACTCAGCCCGCCGTTTGAGGCCCGCCTCCCGTTCAGCTCCCCTCACTTGCAACGATTGCTGAGCCGAGGCTGGACCGAGCCCGAAACCTCGGCTCGGGCTCGGATGAGTTGCTTTGCGCTGGCGACTAGCTAGTGGCAGGTGAGCCAGCCCGACAGCCCGTGCGTTGACGATCTCTACCTCAAGTGTTCAATATAAAAGTGATGAGCAGATTGTCGTCCACATATTCGTACAACAAAACATACCAGGTTAAGGAGTAGACCTGTGAAACGCAAGGGTTCGGAAGATTATTTTTTTAATAAAAGGTACAAATCGTGGGGGAATTGACGAGAGACCATATCTAATTGAGAAAGAATTGGACAAAAATTTGATATATGATACAGCAGTATAAACCTCCAAGAACGTACACTTCTTCGGCACAAACGAAAATCGCAACGTGAACGTTGTCGCACAGGCCCCGGACTTTGCGCATGGTCTTTATTTAATAGGTCAAAACTACCATTTAGGCCCCGTACCTCGAAAACTTTATTTGGGTGGGATGGGCTAACAACAGCGACCGAGCGACCAGCGAGGTGTTGGTCGTGAGTCTGTCTGTCTGCCTATCCGTGAGAAGCAATCGCCTCTCTTTTGCTGTAGCGAAACTAAACAAATCTCATTCAGTTTATTTTGAGCGTAAGATACGTTGAGCACCTCCAGAGCATCAATGGAAAGCTCATGAGATCTAAGTAGTAAATTTAAATTAGCTATGGAATTTCGTGTCTCTCTTGAAAGTGATGGGGGAGACAGGTGAAACGAAGAGTCTACTGGAGTCTGATTTGAAGGGGCTTGTCACTAGAGCTGTCAGATTGCACTGTAGTATCGAGTGATGCAGTAGTCTCTTCACCAAAACAAATAGTAGCAGTGCCTGCCTTGAGAATCAGATAAATATCTCTCTTAAAGTCACAGCCAACTTCACATAGGAGGGTAAACATTACCCCTTCCGGGTAATCGTATTGCACTTTCAATGGGCATTGGTGTTTTAGAATCATGTTTTATACTCTTACAAACGGTGTTGTCAGATTTTACCTCAGTGGACAGATTCACAAAGCCTACACCACCTTGAAAAGCCGCTATTTTTGCCTGAAAACTTAAAAAAAAATATATCTTCTCAATCATTTGAGCTACAGAGCCCAGATTTGCAGTGGGCTTATACTTCATGAATACCTTTAATTTTCGAGAGTAAAAAAGAAAAAAAACCCATAAAAATCCATACGATGTCCGTGTGCACCTCCAGGGTCATCCTGGGGCCGTCGTCTGAGACCTCTTGGAGTCACCGAGGACCCCATGGGCTCGCCGAAGACGTCATGGGGTCACCGAAGAGTTTTTTTTTTTCTAAAAGTCACTGGAGGTGCAAACAACTTTTGTAATAGTTAAATAGAAGGGAAAATTCATTCGAGGAAATATGTTCGAAAACGGGCAGCTATATGGCAGCTACTTTTCGGAACGTTCAACGCAATATTTATAGTTAAATAGAAGGGGAAAAAAAGAGGACGGGCAGCCACCAACTTCCTACATTCTGTTGGTACCAATGGTAACCTGCGCATGCACCCCTCTGGACTTACCATTGTTGTTGGCAACCGAGCCCGTCCGCCCGAGTGCCTCACGTTTTTGAAAAAAAACACAAAAAACAAGCAGGCCCGCCCTTCCGCCAAACGGAGTTGCCAGCTCCACTTCGCTGCGCCGGCAACTCCGTTCGGCAGGGGCCGGGCCTGCTTGGCCTGCCGGCGGGCCCGACCATTTCAGTCCCACGATTTACTGATGTGCATAATCAAATAAATAATGTGACCGGTAAAT